GGGTTCTGTGGGACAAAGAATTTTGGGTCTGTGGAAGAAAAAGGGGGGAAATTTTATGAACAAATTTATACCAACATTTATGGGGGTTTGAAGCAGGGGTGGGAATGTTGAAATCGGGGAGGGGGGAAAAGGGGGGGGGGGCAGTGGAGATGTCATGTCTGAGGGCAATTTTGTGATGTGTTTTAATGCAGAGAATTGGAGGAGGGCAGGTTTCCCCAAAATATTATCCAAAAGGCAAAAGGAGGGATTGTTGGGGTTTTTTCCAGACTTGTAGAGGGGAAAGGAACAAAATAAATGACCCAAGAGTTTTTTAAATCTGTGGTGGGGGGAAAGGCCGGGGAAAGGGTAACCCGGGGAAAGGTTGGAGGGAGGGGAGTAAAGGTTGTTTTGTGTGCGGGGGGCCTTGGATTTCCCCGCAGGCATGCGTGAGCGTATTTGAAAGGAGTAAAAGACAATGGTTTCTAAAATTGACGTGCTTTTTGGGGTTGAGCAAGGTAACATTTATGAAAAGATTTACGGAAACCCGCAGGAGGACTTGAGTCCTGGAGTTGGGAAACTAAAGTGTCTGTATTCTGAAGGAGGGGGGCTAATGTTGCAATTTTATAATTGTAAAAGTAAGGGGCCTTGGAAAGACAGTGATGGATGAATAGATGAAACTTTTTTTTTCGGGCCACCCTTCCTTGGTAGGAATTGGCCAAAGTGTTTTAAAAAAAATAAGTGGTTTGTTCATTTAGAAAGAAAAGGAACAAAGGGAGAATGAGTGGAAGTGAATTTTTTCGTCGGGGAAGGAAGGGGGGTAGGGGTCCCCTCCCCAAAAAGGTTAGAGGGAGGGGGGAGAAAGGAGGTTTGTGGGCAAGGGGGTTGGGCTTCCAGCAAAGCATGCAAGAGCGTTTTGATAGGGGTTTAGTGAATGGTTTTTGGGGGCCTGCAAGTTTTCGGGGTGTTAGCTTTGGAGTATTTAGTGAAGGGGTTCAGGGGGGAAAAGGTTTTTTTATATAGGGTGGACTTAAAATCTGGAAAGGGAAGTACAGTGGACCCCCGGTAATCGTAAGCTCGAAAGTTTTTAATTTTTTGGAAAACGGGAATGTTATTTTTTGTCAAAAAACTGACTTTCGAAACGTGTTTGACAAGCAAATTAAATTTATTCATCTGTACGCATACCCACAGCCTGAGCCACCTCACACCCATTCCCAGCCAGTGTGCCATTGTTTATCAGTGAGGGGAGGGTGAAAACCCACAAGTTCACACAATTTTTTTTCATTAAAATTCCATTCGTTTTTAGTGCTGCAAATGGGTAAAAAAAGTCACCAAGACTTTCCCAAAAAAGCCTTTTTGTGCCAGCCCTTTTTAAAGAATGTGAGAAAAAACATATTTAATTTTTAAAAAAAACGTTTGTAGAAAAATACGAAGGGGGGTGGTGGTGGGGGGGTAAGGGGGTTTGCAGTTTTTGATAGTGGTTAAAAAGGGAGGAGGAAAGGTGGGAGGGGTGGGTGCAATTTTGATTGTGGTAGAGGGGGGTAGTGATGGTGTAAACAGGTTTTGAAAGGGTAGGGGGGTACTGATAGTGGTAAAAGGGGGGTAATTTGGTTTTTGAAGGTGGTAGTGGTTGTGATGGTGGAGTGGTTGTGATTTGGGGAAACGGTTTTTGATGGGGGGGAGAGGGGGGGGCCCTTTTTCAGTGTTCAGCGATTAACCAACTCCCCCAATGTTGTTGGAGTTATATAAAGGGGTACAGAAAACCCGCGGGTCAGCTGCTGGTTCCCACCATTTTTTGGATGGTTATTTCTCTCAGTGGCTCTTATACACCCAAAAACAAAACACAACCCCTTTGTGGCATTTTTAATACTTAATTATTATTCTAGAGTATATTTTCCCTGCTTCTGTGTTATTTTTATTGTTTGTTTTTGTATATTAGTTGAATTGTAATAGATTAAAAAAGGACGTAGAGTTTTATATTAGTGTCATATTCTCCAACAAAAAACTACCTCCCCCCCCTGCCCCCTCTGCCATACACCCAACAAAAGGGCTTCAAATTTAAAATTTAAATGTGATATTAAATGTTCATTTATACATTTTTTTTTAGTGCTTTACATTTTTTTGGGGATTCTTTTCTGCATGTAAATCTATAATTTTAAATAGGGAAATGACCCAGAGTCCCTTTTGGAGGGGATTCCCCCCCCAAAAAATAACCTCTCTTTCCCCCTCACCTCCCCCTGTCTTCCCCTTTTTTATTTATTTATTTTTTTTTATAATTTGAGCATTTCATACAAAAGGTACAAAAAAATACAGGTAAGAGCAGCATGCCAAAGCCACTTATATGCATAGCATTACGGGCTGGCTTAAAATTAACTTAAGATTAACTAAGCAATGATGAAATCAGTGATAAGACATTTTTGTAAACAGATAACTATAAAGCACAAATGAGTATTACAAAGACAGGTCATATGGTTGCATGCATTGCTGTACATTCAGTCGAATGGAGTATTCTGTTAGATTGGGTTTTAGGTTTAACATTTATCATCAACAACAGCCTTCAATAAAGGTAACTGTCATGTTGAATGTTCATTCTTTTGTGCATGTAAATCTATCTTTAAGGTAAAAAAAAAAATTGTTGTTGATACTTCTGGGTGTCTGGAATGAATTAATTGGATTTACATTATTTCTTATGGGGAAAATGGATTCGCAAATCGTCAATTTCGATAATACGTAGTTATGTTCTCTGGAACGGATTAATTATGAAAAACAGGGCCCCACTGTACAATGCCTGCACTTTCAAGGAAGGGTTTGGGATATTGGCAGTTTGGAGGGATATGTTATATCTTTATATATGCTTCTAAACTGTTGTATCTGGATGCCTCTGCAAAAACAGTGATTATGTATGAGGTGAAAGTGTTGAATGATAATGAATTTTTTTTTTTTTTTTTTTTGGTGGGGAGTTTCTTTTTGGGGTCATCCTGCCTCAATGGGAGACAGCTGACTTGTTTAAAAAAAAAATTACTTAGCCACTTAAAAATAAGAGTTGCTACTATTATGCATGACAAACAAACATCATCATGCACCTCTTCCTCTTTGCCGTACTAACTTTCCCCAATAATGTAGGTAGTCACATGCACAGGAACAGGACAGATGAGCATGCTTATTGCAGTTGATATAAACTATGTGGTCAGCAAAAGAGCAAAGAGTTGTGATGGACACTGTCCAGAAAATAAAACTCCACATTTTTTTTTTTTAACATGTCAGCCATTTCCCACCGAGGCAGAGTAACCCAAAAAGAAAGAAAAAACTTTCATCATCGTTCAACATTTTCAAAATCATTAATACATAATCACTGCCTTTGCAGAAGCGTCCAGATACGATAATTTAGATGTCGTTACAAACAGCCAATATCCCAAACCCCTCCTTTAAATTGCAGGCATTGTACTTCCCACCTCAAGAACTCAAGTTTGGCTAACTGGTTTCCCTGAATCCCTTCACAAAATATTGCCCTGCTTACATTCCAACAGCTCATCAGGTCCTCAAAACCATTCGTCTCCATTCACTCCTAACACACACACACACATGCTTGCTGGAAGTCCAAACCTGTTGCCTGCAAAACTTCCTTTACCCCCTTCCCCCAACCTTTCCTAGAACAACCCCTACCCCACCTTCCTTCCACTACAGATTTATATGCTTTCCAAGTCATTCTACATTGTTCCATCCTCTCTCAATGACCAAACCACCTCAACAACCCCTCTACAGCCCTCTGACTAATACTTTTAGTAACTCAACACCTCCTCTTAATTTCCACACTACGAATTTTCTGCATAACATTTACACCAAACATTGCCCTTAGACACAACATCTCCACTGCCTCCTGCCTCCTCCTTACTGCAGCATTTACAACCCATGCTTCACACCCATATAAGAGTGTTGGCACCACTATGCTCTCATACCTTCCCTTCTTTGCCTCCATGGATAACGTTTTTTGTCTCCACAGATACCTCAAAGCACCACTCACCTTTTGTCCTTCATCAATTCTATGGTTAACCTCATCCTTCATAAACCTATCTGCTGACAAGTCAACTTCCAAATATCTGAACACATTCACTTCTTCCATACTCTCTCCCTCCAATGTGATATCCAATTCTTCTTTATCTAAATTGTTTGATACCCTCATCACCTTACTCTTATCTATGTTCACTTTCAATTTTCTTCCTTTACACACCTTCCCAAACTCATTCACTAACCTTTGCAACTTTTCTTTAGAATCTCCCAAAAGCACAGTATCATTAGTATCATCATATTTGACAAACTTATAGTGTTAATACAGGTACTCCTTACTTAACGACCAAGTTCTGTTCTGAAGAGTAGGTCGGTAAGCGAATAAGTTGTTAAGCGAGGAGCATACTATACTGGGAGCGGGTTTGTCAACCGTCTTTAGATATTGCTTTAATGTCATCTTTGCACCATTCATAACATTTTTAATATATTTTTAAATGTTTATACAGTAGTGTACTGTATACTGTAATAAGCAGAATAGAGGAAATCAGCTCTAATATACATTACTTAGGTTTGCATACTAGTTGGAGAGCTGGTCATAAATCCGAGCAGTTGTTAAACAGGTAGGTCGTTAAGTGAGGAGTACCTGTATTCATACATCAATGTAAGGTATTGTATGTGCAAATCTTTTTATAGATAAAATACTGTATTGTCTCTGAAGTACGTATTACAATCATGTTTCAACTCAGATGTTGGCTCTGGCTGTGTTGCTTTAACTCAGGTCACCATGGGATCTTTGATGATCAAAAAGAGATCAAAACTTTCATGGGTTCCCTTCCACTTGATACAGAAACAAGTGAATAAAGATACAGCAGCAAATTACGAGGGGTGACTATACTGAACTAATGATGAATAAGCCAGTTATGTGTTCTAAGCCTGGGCAGATGATTATGCCCTCAATGTGCATTTATAGAGCAGTGTAGATTATATATAACTACAAAGTACTGTAATACTGTACTAACCTTGCACGAAAAACTCAGCCAGGCTTTAGTATTTGGAAAATCCTGAAGCAAATGTAGGATTGTTACAGCTTCATCCAGTGCTGGGATAGTCTCAATAGCCAAGAAGTCAACTCCAGAACTGATCAAGGCTTCCATTCGAGGCCTATGCCACTCCATGAGATCTAAAGGAGTAACTTTAGACATATAGGCACCAGTGTATTCTGAACCATCTGCTTGGCATGCTCCATACGGACCAATGGAACCTGCAACTAACAGCTTTCGATCTGAAAATATGTAACAAAGTTGGTAGAATTACCGACAATATGTAAAGTACAAGGACACTAGTGCAACTAATGTGGCATTTTATTGTGGCAACGTTTTGCTCTCCAGGAGCTTTATCAAGCTATTACAGACAATACATGGACACAGAGGGTATATATAGGCTCAGAGTGAGGTGCAATACTAGTGGTAGTGGTAGTAGTAGTAGTAGTGACAAAAGTTGTAGTAGTAGTAGTAATAATACAACATGGTAGAGCAATTAATTCGTACATGAGTAAAAGAATATAAAAGCTATTACTTGGGTAACATAAAAATAGGTTGGACAAATATAGACTGGATAGAGGCAGCCTGTTTCAGTGTTCACTCTCTGTAATGTGCTTTGTGTAGTATAACAGGAGAGACTATGTGATGGCAGGGCTTACTGTTTTCAGTAGGATTCTTGCTAAGACTTCAGAGATGGTGAAGCTGCCATTGAATACAATTAAACAAAGCAATGGCAGCTTCACCATCTCTGAAGTCTTAGCAAGAATCCTCCTGAAAACAGTAAACCCTGCCATCACATAGTCTCTCCTGTTATACTACACAAAACACATTACAGAGAGTGAACACTGAAACAGGCTGCCTCTATCCAGTCTATATTTGTCCAACCTATTTTTATGTTACCCAAGTAATAGCTTTTATATCCTTTTACTCATGTACGAATTAATTGCTCTACCATATTGTATTACTACTACTACTACTACTACTACAACTTTTGTCACTACTACTACTACTACCACTACCACTAGTATTGCACCTCACTCTGAGCCTATATATACCCTCTGTGTCCATGTATTGTCTGTAATGGTTCGATAAAGCTCCTGGAGAGCGAAACGTTGCTGTTGCAACCCCTGAATGGGTTGCAATGATTAATATGTATTTATATATATATATATAATTATTACCTTTTCATATAATTTTATATTGCTTGTATTTGCGATAATAGCTAAATCGTAAATGTATTGCTTTATATTGTTATTTAACTTAGCTTCCTTTGGTTAGGTAGGATGTAACATATTATGTGCTCAGTTCAAGTCTTGATTGTCTAACTACTGTAATTATCGCTCTTTGCTCGTTTCCCTGCCGGCTTCTTGCTGGGCAGCGACCCACGGAGCTATCACGTGATCGAGGGGGGGTGTCCTCACCTCGCCTGAAGTATTCAGTCTGGTCTAGACTCTCTTGGTGGTTGGACAGATTGTCTGTCATTATTCTTGTTAGTTCTGTAGAACTCTGTTCACAGAACATTGTATAGACTTAGTGATTTTCGACGTTGTACTGAGATTGTGTGTCGCATAGACACTCTAAGCAACTCAGGTCCTGAGCTGTAGCTTCTGACCTAATTTGTACTGGTATCTGTGTATTATCACAGTTGGGGATTTTCTTATGCTGAACTTAGATTCAGTAGTATGGGAGTTTTGTGACTTTTGTGGAGGATCTGCAGATGGTCCCTCCTTAGTGTCGTTATGTTATCTCCTTGTTCCTGATTCTGTGTCGCAGTCGCTTGTTATATTGCTATTGGGCTTAGCATTCTTTTTATTGTTCAAGCAGACTGTTCTGACTGCCAGTTGGTCAAGAAGTTAGTTTATTTGAGGACTTTGTCAGTCACTTGTTTAAGTCTAGTCGAGTCGTGAGACATAGCGAACTACTTAGAGCACTTACATACACACAAACTTACTTGTACATATTTGTAATATCTTATTAAATGTTAATGTACCAGACGGTACTTAAGAATTATAAATGTGATATGTGCTTTCAGCACAATACTATTGTATACGAGAGAAGTGATTATTCTTATTTTGTTGATTACTGTGATTAATTTAATTTGATGATATACCTCTAGACAATACTTAATAAATTTATTAAATTTTAATATCTCTAGTTAGTAGCCTACCAGTTGTAATCCTGAAGCACTATTGAATTATACTGAATTCTAATGGATAATTGGACAAGGATACTGACTACTTGTTACAAAAACCCAGTAACAGGCTGGATGCTAGAAGGGTAGTCTTTTCTAGTATTCACTGGAGATCTCTAAGCTTTTAGAATAGCGTTTTTTGTAACAAATGGGGGCCCGTCCAGGATGCTCTTGATCCAAGGTCTTGGAGAAATTGTCCAGTTTGACATACTAGTAACTCTATGGGTGGCCCGGTGGTCTGGTGGCTAAAGCTCCCGCTTCACACACGGAGGGCCCGGGTTCGATTCCCGGCGGGTGGAAATTCCGACACGTTTCCTTACACCTATTGTCCTGTTCACCTAGCAGCAAATAGGTACCTGGGTGTTAGTCGACTGGTGTGGGTCGCATCCTGGGGGACAAGATTAAGGACCCCAATGGAAATAAGTTAGACAGTCCTCGATGACGCACTGACTTTCTTGGGTTATCCTGGGTGGCTAACCCTCCGGGGTTAAAAATCCGAACGAAATCTTATCTTATGAACAAACACTTTGAGTACTTTCTTAATCTGAAGACTTTGAGTTTAGTCTTGTACAACATACCAGGTGGATGTATGTACTTGACTGAGTCTCTTGATCCAAGGATATGGAAATACTGTTTATGAGTTCTAACTCTAAGATATCCAACACTAAAATTCCTATTAGGATTATAGTTTCCCATAATCACTCTCTCGTAGTACATTTATTTTCGTGATGTATGCCAAAGTGAAACAGTTAATTGATACTCTGACTTTGTCTGAGTTAAGTACATTAAAACTTCAGACGTGTTGGCAAGTAGCCAAATATCTCGGTGTGACGTATAACAGGAATTACACTGCAGAAACACGTGTTAATTTCCCTACTCCTCCATTACCCACTGGTCCTATCTCTCAGGAACAGTTTGAGAGGTTGGAACGCCTCATTATGTTGCAGACTGCACAAATAGAGGCACAGAGGAAACTGAACGAAGAAGATTTCCAGAGAGAAAATGTTCGTCTGGGAAGACAACAGACTGATAGATCACAGGACACATTTAATGTGCAGAAAGCTGCATCCAATGTTCCTAAGTTTTTTGAGAGTGACTTAGACACCTATTTTGATGTGTTTGAGAACCAGGCACGTGCTATGAACTGGCCACGTAAGCACTGGGCTACCTTGTTGCACACAGCTTTGACAGGAAGAGCTCAAACTTGTACTGCTGCTTTACCATTTGCCAAGTACATTAGTTATGACGCTGTCAAACAAACTATTCTAGAGACGTATAACTTGTTGCCTGTAAGTTATCAACGTGCATTTCGTACGTTACAACGACAGCAAGATCAAACTTGTGTAGTTTGCTCGCGAGAAAAAAGTTGCATTTGAGAGATGGTCTAGAGCTGCGAAATGTAACAATTATGACGTCTGGTTCTTGTTACTACCAAAATTTTTAACAACTGTATTCGCTGCATACAAGAATACTGATCGATCATACACCTCGGATATTTGGAAACTGCGCTTACAGACAATTTACGGATTTTCACAAATTGTAGACTAAAACACACAGAAACAAGGTAACTAAAAATTGTCCAGAATTAAAACCCAAAATTCAGCTGCCCTTTGGGGCCTGAGATCTTACTAAAAATTCTCGTCCCTTTTACCGGAAAACTCACAACCCTGAACGGTCTTGTGGCTAGCAGAAATCTGATATCGAAAGAAGAAATTTAAAAATGTACCTTTGTAACAAAAAGGACATGTAGAGAGTATTGCTATAAGTTAAAAGAGATAGAGAGCATCGGGGGGCTGGCCCCCACAAAGTTGTACCATCTTCCGAGCAAAAAGGGTACCAAAACCCAGTAATACCCTGACCCTACTGTTTTGATAAGTTACTCGGGATAGATGACAGCGTCAAAGATGTATCTGACAAAAAGATTCGTTCAGGATGATCCTTACTTTTCGAGAGGTAAAGTAGGATTTGACGAATCCATCTAACTGAGATAATTACTTTCAGAGACACTGGCTTATCTCACGTTATTAAAAGAAAGATGTACTGCCCATAACTGATGAAATAATTGCGAGATAGTGTTTTGTTAAAACCCTAGGGGGGCCCTGTTTTAAAAGTACCTCTTCAAAAAAGTATACATTGAAACAAGCTATTTACGGTTATATTTAGTGGGTATATCGTGGTGTATTTCCCATAGGTCAGTGGATTTATAAGGGAACGATATCCCTCATGCTGTTTGTAAAGAACCCCTTTTATTGATAATAAAACGTGTAATTATGCCATTGAGTTTTAAAGAAGCCTATTTTTTTTTTCCTCTCGCGCAATTACTAGGTTGTCAAGGGTTCAAAACCCTCCTTGTCCCTGTTGTTTAGTGGATGAAAAAATTTGGGCTTGAATTTGTTTTTTAGTGACGCTCTGGCCCCAGGGGCTTAACCCAACTCCCCCGTGTCAGGCTTAGTCAGGACCAAAATAAAGTTAAATTTTTAACTATGATGATTTAATCAAGGGGCTTTTTTTACTCCCTGAAAGACTAGGTATACGTTACTGAAGTGAAGCAAAGGATCTTGATAATTGTTACTTTATAGTAACGGGGTACTTTTGGAGAAAAAAACATTAAATTGTCAGTGAAAGTGTTTCACCAAGTCAACATTCGTAGTGTTCCAGTTACATTTTGTGAACAAACCATTGATTTTGTTCACAATGTCCCATTGGAGGACATTTTGGGTGTCAAAAGACACTCGGTAAACGGCAAAAAAATTTTACTTGGCCAAAAATAAGGAAACGTAGCGATCATGGCGACATTGCCATGTGTGTCAAGTGAAAGGAACCAGCACACACTCCCCATAACCCCTCACTGAGCTTACGTACAAAGTTAGTTCTCTGGGCAGTGATTGTTAGATTTGTTAAAAGGTTGAAGCATCTGCTTTCTTCTGTTCTTGTGAAGAGTCCTAATTTCAATCTTCCCTTTTTAAATATAGAGGCGAGTGATTGTGCAGTGGGTGTTGTGCTGCTCCAACAGACAACATCCACTGATATTCTCCATCCTATGTTACTATT